TGACTCCAACTATCTGCATGTCCTCCCTCACTGCATCCATAAATCTCCTCTTTGGCCTTCCTCTCTTTCTCCTACCTGGTAGCTCCATCTCTAACATTCTTCTGCCAATGTATCCACTGTCCCTCCTCCGCACATGTCCAAACCATCTCAATCTGGCTTCTCTAGCTTTTTTTCCAAACCTTCCTGTCTGTGTTGTCCCTCTAATGACCTCATTTCTGATCCTGTCCATCCTTGTCACTCCTATAGAGAATCTTAGCATCTTTAACTCGGTCACCTCCAGCTCTGCCTCCTGTCTTCTGCCTATTGCTAGTACCTCTAAACCAGGGGTGTCAAATTAATTTTCACCGGGGGCCACATCAGCAATACAATTCCCCTTAAAGGGCCAGTTGTAAATGGAAGAATGTATGTGTGAATGCTTTTTAAGCTCCCGTGTTTTTTGATACGTCATTTTTTAACACAGTTTTACTAAAACATTTTTTTCTCATCTTAACCTTTACAAACTTGGCCAAGTTCTTTAGAAACCACCTGTGTCAAAATCCTGAGTCATGGCAATCTTGTAGTGTCACTGGAAGGCCCGCTAATGAGTGAATAACTATCCCCTGTTGAATTATCTGTGCACTGAATGTATCTGATTGTATACATCTGGTTTTTCAGGGAAAACAATATCACACTGCTCATGTGAAGGGCTGTAAAACTCATGTATCAAATATGATACGTTTAACGTTATAGGGTTAAGTCAGTTCAGATATTTTCTTTTATCATCTTGACCACTTTGGAGTCATGCAAGAAATCCCCTCCAATTAACAAATTATTTGCTTTGTCAAAGCAACTGGAAAAAGGAAACAGATTATTGAAACCTTGAAAATAAGGTTTGAGTGGTCTGAAAAGTCACTTACTTAATACCCCAAGAATAAAAGCCACCAGGAATCAAAAAAGGAAGTCTAAGGTTACTTCAGGACATTGGTTTTCTTTCCCATTTGTCTGTCTAAGCCTGACTGAAATGCAAGGTTTTCAGTCAATATTTTATTTCCTGTCGGCCTTAGTGTACAGAGAAGGTAACTGTAGAGCCGGCAGAGTGGGGGAAGCAGCTATCAACATATAATAAGAATAAGAATAGGCCGGCCAAAGTGTGTTTGTATGTTTTTATCACGTATGGAATGTGCCCGATTACAGCGCAGTGGGAACAGGGACTAACTGTATAAATACATAAATGGATATTTGAACTGAGAGCACAGTTGAAATTGTGTTCATGTTTATTTTATGTGCGATACTGAAGGTACAATTTGATATTTTGGAAAACATGATCCATGAAATTTACTCGCTAATACTTTGTCACCGTCAATGTCGTTTGTGATGCCGGACACTGAAGAACAGATGGGAGTGGGAATTTTGTGAAGCAGTGATTTTTGTGAAATACCTAGTCAACAACCTTTTGCTTTAAGACAAAAACTGCATAGGGAGTAATATGGGGGAAGTAGAAATGTTTTGATACATTAACTCAGGGATTCTCAAAGTGTGATGCGTGCACCCTCGGGGTCCGTGAGCTGCCACTAGGGGCTGCACGAGACAAAAAAATGGAATGGCATTTTGGAGTGGATTTTTAAAGTAGACATGCAAATAAATATTTCCTTGATAATCAAAAGCTGACTTTTTTCTTAATAAAAAGCAGACTATATGTATGTTCAAAAGAACTGTAAATATTGCACATTAGTCAACTGAATCAAATTAAATTTAGTTAACTAATATAATTTTGATATTTTGTTGACTTAAATAAAGACAGTTTAATTGACTAAATTGAGGCAGTGGTGGCCATTGGTGGTTAAAGAAGCGGACTCGGCTCCGAAAGGTTTTAGGCTCGAGTGCACCAGCTACCAAGTTACCACTGAGGTGCTCTGAGCATGGCACCGTCCCCACACACTGCTTCCCGGGCGCTTAAGCTGATAAGTTTGAATTTTTCATTGTGTGTGCATATACAATGACAAATAATTCACTTTTTTTTTTTGACTAGGTCAGTATTCAGTATTCACCTCATCCTTTGTGGACCACATTGTAAAACATTTCTAGGAGTACCTACTCCTGTCAAGCAGACCATTATTTAACACACTTAGATAACAGTTTATGATTTAACACACTAACTATAAATTATATTTACACCAAAATAAAATGAACACTTCCAGTCACAAGTACTTTCCACCAGGGTTACAGTCCAAAACCCATTCCGTCCTGACATTGATACTCAGAATAAACTCAAAACACACTCACATGTCACTGGCAATGGAGGAGTTACGGGACATGGACTTAGGAGAGAGGTCGTAGTCGCTGTCGGAGCGGTACAGGAACGACTTTCTCCGCTGGCTGTGGACAAAATTGGCCTGCAGGATGAGGCCTGAGCTCGGGCTGGCCATCGGGTCCAGGGGGCTGCGACCTGATGACGTGCCATTGTCCACATCGAAACTGCAGAGAAAAGAAAATAACGAGATAGGAATCAAAATATGACACATCTGCAAAGTTTTATTCAGTATTACAAACTGCTAGAGAAGTTGGTACACATACTCAGATTTTTGCACTGAGTCTCAAAACCCAAATCAATTTCCAGTGAAGAGGTCCACTGAGGAACCTTACAAGATTGAACAGTCACACACAGTTATTTTGTTATTAATTTGTAATGGGGGAAATAATTATACATTTGACTGCTAAATCAAACTCAGATGAATGCTTTAATAATTATTTTTGTTAAAAAGTGTTGATGTAAAACCACATTTTAGTAGATTGGACTAGTAATTAGACAAAAGTAATAAGAATTCATCATGAAGCAAAAACACATTGAATTTTATTCCTTGTCAAAATGCATGATAAACCTTGCATGTTGCAGGGCTGGACAAATGTTACAACAAACTATTTGAAGAGTCAAATAATGTTTTTTTCTTCATAAAAATAGCTCTGTGTTCTCTTACTACATTTACAGTTCCTCAATCTGAGTATGATGTGTACATCTCCCAAGAGCCAACATTAGTGCCACTCATACGGTATATTGAGCTTCACTGGCTGAGATAAGATAAAGATAAGATTCTTGTGAGGTTAATTTTTGAATTATAATCAGCAGGCCACTCATTACGTGGCTGATTAGTTGATTACAATAGCGGCAGAGTAATTGGGTCATCGCCAAAAAGTAACTACTAGCGCAGAACGGTAACGTCAAAACCTGCTACATACAAACGCATACAGCACTAAATATGCAAGGGATCTGTCAGACTCATTTGCGATACTGAGGTCATCATGTGCTCTCTCATAGTCAACTGAGCCAGCGTCCATCCAGGTGGTGACTAATACCTGGCATTGCAGATAACCTCCTTGATGCTATGGCACAGAATTAATCCTGTGTTTTGTGGACGTTGAGTGTGTGTGTGTGAGGCACTGTGACGCATAATTCACACACGGATGACGACCACCACTGACATCATCTGACTGAAGTTTTAATCTGATGTCACTTACAGCTTCGAACCACTTTAGTTCAATGCTTTGTGAAGTTGTTCCTATTTTAAAGAAAAGCCATGTAAAACAAGGCCGAACATTCAAATTATCCTCAGAGGAACCTTCTGAATGTGAGGATTACAACGCTTACAGCTACAGTACTACAGCACAATCTGGTCAATATTAATAAGGTGACACGATTTATGGCCCATTGAAACAAGTTTAATCTGTATGATGTCCTTTTTCTTTATTTTGCATGCCTCACATTATTTCTAGATCAGTTTAACATTATCACTTTGAATTATGTTGCATGATTTGTCTGTTGGTAGAAATCACTGTGTGTAAAGTTATCCTGACACATCGGTGGTGGTATGTACTGTAGGTGGTCTGTCGTCGCCTAAGGATGCACTAATATGTAGGTGCAATGGGTAGAGTCCTGCTTCGGAGCACTCGGTGTTATTAACCGGTCTCAAATCAATAACACAAATCAGTCTCATTAAAGTTATCTTTAATTGTTATATTATCCTACTAATATAGCAATGATGTATTACTTGAAGTATTACACATACACTACAATCAATAGTATTCAATAACAATTAAATATCTGAAGGATTTTCTGGAGTTCTTGGCAAATTGGGTGGCTTCAATGAATAAAGTTACAACACAGACAGTTTACAAAAATAATCAAATTTATTAATACAACACTGTCAAGTTAATGATGGTGATTGAACTCATAAACAATGATCACAACAACAAAACAAGGAATAAGTGTGTGTGTAGGTGTGTGTGCGTGTGTACACGAGTGGTCGTGTAAGAGAAAGAGAGAGAGATGTTGCCTCTTAGCAAGCGACTGAGCACTCGAGTCGTGTTCACATACGCGACTGCGCAGTGGAAGAAGAACTGCGAGGTAGAAGGAACGGTGTTCTGAAGTTTTCTCCTACCTATAGTTTTTTGCTCCGCGAGTCAACTGCCAATTTGCCGCTGCAGACAAGCCATAGTTTTCTGTTACCCCGCCGTTAAACAAGGTTAGTTTCTTGTATTTTTAATACTTTATATGACCAGTATGCAATGCAGTAAACTTATTTCAACTTTGCCACGTGCACGAGATCGTGTCTGAATGCAGTTTGAATAGCTAATACTGCGATTTATTGTCATTTTCATATAGTCATATAACTTGCCTATATAGCCTCCGATTTTTTCAGCTGTTTTAAAACAGTACCTTACTAAATTTGCGTCATTTTCTTGTAGTCATCAAACTTCCTCATGTAGCCTTCGAACTTATGTGTATGCAATTCGAATGTCTAATAGCGCTGTAATTTTCCAGCTGTTTTAAAACAGTACCTTACTAAATTAGCAGGGTTTACAGTATTTCATAAGCTCGTTTACAATTTTCTGATAGTGCCCTACAGACTTGGATGGAAGTGTATGGACCCCTGACATTTGTCCATGAAATTAAGTATTTCTTCCATTGAGTTATTGATCGCTATGTTTTCTTACGTATATAATCGGTTTTTTCCTTTGTGTGCATTGGAATTACACAAAAACGGAGAAAAGGGCAAATTTCACATAATTTCTAACCATTTTATGAATCTTGTGTGAACTTATATCAGAGTTGCCTTTTTCTCTGAGAGAAATACTTTTAATATATACATTTAATAGAAAAAAGTCACTGATCTTTTATTCTAAAATATCTTACATTGGATGAATTGGGGCTGAAAGTTATATAGCAATGCACATAAACATTTTTAACTTCTGTCTATGATGCTTCTTAGTCATCACAGGGGGGCTAACTTCTTGTGGACAGGACTCATGTTCACATTTTGACCAGGGAAGACAGATGGCTTGAGAGAAGCATAAAATGAGCCATTTTTGTTAACCTGGAAAAAAACAACACTCAACAGAGGAGGTGGGCTGAGAAACACCCTATCACGCACAATGTACAGTGGTATGAAAAACTTTGGGCACCCCTGATCATTTTCAAGATTTTCCTTTATGTTTCATTGGTTGTTCAGAACAGCAATTTCAATTAAATATATCATATAGCAAACAAACACAGTGATATTTAAGTGAAATGAGGTTAATAGGATTTACAGAAAGTGTGCAATAATTACTTAAACAAAAGTAGGCAGGTGCATAAATTTGGGCACCCCAACAGAAAAATTACATCAATATTTAGTAGATCCTCCTTTTGCAGAAA